CACCAGGGTGAGAGTCCCCATTTATCTACTCACGTGAGTTTTCGAACTGTTGGGTTGACAGGAGCTGGGGAGGAAGCAGGAGCTCACTCTGCTGCGCGAAGCTGGGCTTGAACCACTGAAGTGTCGACCATTTCTGGCCGGCAACTTTCAGCATCATTAAGCCGCTGCACCACCGCGTCCCCTTTAGACGAGATTACCAACCTTAATTATACCCATACCAAATGCAGCATTCCTTGCTAATGGTAAGGACAATACTGGTCAGTCTGGCATATTTTGGTCAGTCTACCATAAGCACAACCAAACCAAATCTGATCCCAGGCATGCTTACACCATCCTATGCAAGCTAGGTGTCTAATCTAGAGACTATTTTGCAAGACAACATACTGTTCTCTACATCCCAGCAGCTTGGAGATAGAAGCAGTGTGCTGACATATAGTCAGGATGCAAAACAAAATTGATCAGCCCAGCCAAATACACCCAATGATACCATTTGGAAGTAGGTCTACAAGTCTGCCATCATGTAAACGATAACAATCCAATCTAGCACTTCTAGCATAAAACAGAACACAACCAAAAATACTTTTATTATTTGATTCCTTGCTTAAGAGCGAGTAACGAAGCCAAAGGTATAAGCCTTGAGAGGGAACTCTATAGACAATATGGGCCTTCTACATGCAAACAACTGCTGTAAGTTAACTTAGTTTGGCAAGCAAGCACTTCCAACACATGGATATAAAATAATAGACCAGCCATGGCAGGGTTGGATCTAAAAACACAGTCCCCCCCTGGATGCAGCACAGCAAGGCTGCACAGGCAAATAATGAATAAATAATACGAAGGTTGCTATCTGTCTTGGAATGCTGAAAAATAAATGATCTTCAATACCCATTTTTAAAAATGAATAAACTTGTGAGCTTTTCTGAGATAATTCTAAGTAAACAGCTCCATTGCTTCACCAGCTGGTTTCCAGCAGATCCCTCATGTCCAAACAGCTTTGGCTTCAGACCACATGTGGCTTGTGTCATTTTGCTATGTAAATAGGGCCAAGGCCAAACCACAGGAAATGTTCAGAGATCTGTCCCTGGGATGCTAAGACATCCCTGAATGTCCTCAAAGATTTCTAGGACAGGACCGCCTCATTTCCTAACAGAAAGATCTTTCCCTAGCCTAATGCCAATCCCTGAAATTCCCTGCTGGAAGACATGAGTCAGGACCCTCCCTTTTCCAGCCTGTGACTCACTAGCTATAAAGGAGATTCTACACACAGCTCAGGGCTCTGCAAAAAGGTCTCTGGGGAAAGTGGATAATGGGAATAAAATTCCAGCCAGGAAAAGCAGAGTTTGGCTCTGGTGGATCCAAAAGGAACAAGTCTCTGAGCACCAGAAGGAGGGTAGAGCTGGAAAGATTGTGTGGAACAACCACAGGAACACTGAGCAACGTTTGGAACTGCAGCTGGACCAGGCACAATTATTTATCCAGCATGTATCATGCTAGATTTCAAAGGCTGCCTGATATGAGAGATTACCATGGGTAGAAAACCAATGTTTAGTAGTTTAGCGGATTAATGGGATTCTTTGTTCTGAGAGGCCAGTTGGATACCTGGGGACATTTCAGGATGGTCAAAACACAGCCACTGTCCTTTCCAATAACAGATGGGCAGGATGCAGAGATTTGAGGGGACAGCAAATGAAGACTTTCTTAATTTCCCCAAATCAGGAGGAGTCTGGGAGCAGCTTTTCAGACTAACACGTTTTTCTTAAAAGGCATAAGCTTCATGAATTACAGCTCCCTTCATTAGAAGAATGAGAACAGCTACACTGATACAGGGTTTCGACTGGGATGAGGTGTCAGTTTAACCACTGCATGCACCCAATGAACGGAGGTACAGCTCACAAAAACGTATGCCTATTAATTAAATGTGTTCATCTGAAAAGCTGCTCTCAGATTCCTCCTGATTTTGGGCTACCATAGATTAACACGGCTCCCCTCCTGTGATGTCTTTGTTCCCAATGAGTATTGGCTGGAAGCCCCTGCAGAAAGCAAAAATCTAGAGAAATCCAGTATCATGCAACTGGGCCTAAAAATTCAGTTCCAAAACCTAGTATGCCATGGGAGAATTGGAGCTAGCAAGGTAAAAGTTGGTAGAGAATATTACTTAGACATGGGGCTGATTCTTTATTTCTTTTAAGCAGTGCTAACTCAGTTTGGGGTAGTTTTGTATTTGATCCTGTTCTCTGTTTATTACTTTTGCTCAGATAGCTAGCTCAGGCATACAGTTTTATGTAACATTACAGTTCAACTATTCTCAGATCCGTACTTTGCTGCCTTTAGTGAAATGAAAATCCATTTCTTTGAACACTCCTGCATTGGGTTTGTAAGCTTTGGACAGTTAACCCTGGGTGAAAAGGGGAAAACTGGAGCCATTCAGTTAAAAGTTTGTCCCTGGGAAAGATGGGTTTTCTTCTCTGCCCATCGAGATCCCACGTATCTCCCCATTCAAAAACAGATTATGGTGCTGTAACTACCAGCCTGGGTGGAACTCTTTCATCTGGAGGAACCCCACACCCAGACCCCCAGCACTCAGATAGAGGGGGTGTGAAAGTGGAGATCTCAGGGAGAGGACTAGTAAGATTGTATGGGTATCAGTGAAGGACACATTGTCCCCCTTGCTCCCTGCTACAGTGACAGATAGTAAAGGTCAGCATGCATAATACTCTCCTTCTGCAAAATAAAAACTATCGACTGTTTTGAGATATAATCCCCAAATAGAGATTTTGCCAGGTTTAGAATAAAGAACTTTCCCACATCAAGCCTGATGAGCTTTGCTCTGAGAAATACATCTCAAGCTTTACATGGATTCCTTATATACCTAAAGACATTGGTGCTCTGGGACACTGGCTCGTGTTCAAGTCAATGGCTCGATCGTTTCAGCTGGTGTGAGCAGGTAAAGTGGCAGGTGCTTTCGCCTGCTTCTCCTTGCCTGACATGTCATTGGAAGAGAAATATCCCACGTAAATAGAATGAAGCAGTGCCATTTTGTGTAACCCACGGAATTCTGTTGCAGCCACTTGTGAAGCTTGTGGATTGGGAAACTGGGTGAAACAGGGAAGAGTTCTGCCAGTTTCCCCTTCTAGCCCAAGTGATTGGAAAAAATAAGAAACATATGCACCAGAGTTCTGCAAGATTGGGAAACTTCTGTTGAAAAATAGCTGGAGGACAGCCAGTACTTCACCCTGTAGCCCTCCTCTAAGTTGCCTTAAAGATCAACAGATTTTTCTGGACCAGAATCTGCATCATCAGATGCTAGAATGAGCCTTCAGTCTCATTCTCATTCAGTTCTCAGGAAAGGTGTTGCTGTATGATTGTTCCTTGTTTGTGCTACAGTAAACTAGCATAGCTATCCCTCAGGAAGGAATCAAGATTATGTAAAAACACATGAATCATGGTTCATGTGTTTACTAGCAACGGCTAATAACAGTTTTCTTGTGAACTTAACAATCTAGCCACAGTCCCCGGTAGACTAAACAGGGGGAGGGCACTGATACCCCAATTATACTTAGGCTTTGCTAAAATGGGATCTCTGTGTTGACATTTAGGTAATGTATACATAACCTGGTTATCAACAATCTATTTAATTCTCATGGCTTGCACAATCCATTAAACTATAAACCAGCTAAAGAGGTTGGGTTTAAACAACAGACTAAGCCACACAAAATCTAAGCACAATTAAAATGAACCGAGCTTAGCAAGTTATACAAATGTATATGCCGGATCTTTCTCTGGCCTGACCAAGCAGGTTTGGTGAACACAGCCATTGGAGAATGTGGCCTGCTTGCTTGTGCAGGCACACACATGAAAGGATTGGTTGGAAACAGTAAAATGGCTGGAGATGGATCCCATCCATAGACAGATGTCTACAAGCTGGTCATGCAAATATCAAAGTATGTGAATAACAACTTTTCCCTCCTCCAGAAAAAAGGTTAGCACTGCTTTGTGGTTTGGATCCAACCAGGGGACCTTCTTTCCCATCGCATGGGATTCATTCTGCTGTTGCTCAGTAGGATTTGAGGGGAACAGTTCCTCTCCAATGCCTCCTGTGCCCCTCGCTCCCAGGAAGAGTGCCTGAATAGCCCCTTAATGCACACAAATAGACATGCCGTGCCAGCCCATCAGTTAGAAAGGCACTGCAGGGGAAACCTCTGCATGAAGCTAAACATTTATGGGAGACCTTCATCTAAGACAGGGAACTCGTAAAATTTTCCCCGATTCCCATTTCTCATAGCCTGGGACATTTGTAAAAGACATGAGCAATATTGGAGCATCGCTACACTGACGTTTAGGATTGTGTCACTGGCTTGCCATCTCAAATGTTTTCTTAACTTACAAAAATAAAGCAATCTGTGAATGCTTTAAAAATGCCAGGTTTGGAGGGAAATTTTGATTAATAGGAAGTCTTTAGAGCAGGGGCATTATTAAAGCTCTCTGGGCCCCAAAGCAAACTTCTCATCTGAGCTGAGCTGAGTTGAGCTTAAGTACCCCAAACGACTGCTAGGTGGCAGCAGAGGGCATAGGTCCTGTATCCCTTTGCTGCCATCTAGTGGTCATGAGAGTTTTGCAGCCCAGATATGGTAAGCTTATTCTTTCCCTCTCATTTCTTCAGTCAGTAAGATGAGTGAGAAGAGGTAGATGGCAGTTAAGAGCAATCACCAAGAAAGCCACCAGAGACTCAAAGAGCTCTTCTTGTAGTGTAGGCTGCTGCTGCTACTGCTGCTAAGGCAACAACTGGCTCTTAAACAGCAGAGATGGTAGCAGGATACCAGCTCTTCCCTCCCTTGCTTCATCCTTCATTCTGTACTGTTATTCCATTATTGACTCTTTTTGACCCCATACTTGGGCTACCATGTTGGGGCTGCAAAAATCGGATCGCCACTAGACGTGGTAGCAAAGAGATACAAAAAAACTCTAACTCTAAATCTTAGCTGACATCATATCTGGACTGGGAAGTCAAAAAAACTCATATGGATTTTTCCAGCCCAGGTTTGATATCTGCAGTGGTGGGATTTTGTGAAAGTGAGGGCAAGGAAAGGGCAGGAGGGAAGAGGCCAGCACAGCACCTACATTTTGTTAGGGCTACCAGTTCTGGGTTGGAAAAACCCACGCAGGCAGTTGATGTCAGCCAAGGGACTGAGTTTTCTGCCTCTCTGCTGTCCTCTGGTGGTCCTCCAGATGCAGCCCAGAGTTGATAGCTCTAGTTTTGTTAGCCTGGTGTGTTCAATGTGTTGCATAGACTCATTCATGGAGGTACTTTCTAGTCCTGATGAATTACCTTTAATTGAATTGGCTTACCCACAACCTGTGGTACTTCTTACACATCCAAAGTGTTCAGATTACTTTGCAGACAGTTATGTTTTGGGGCCAGCAAGGTGCCAGCAACTAGACAACTCTGTCTGAGTTCAAAAAACTAAGCAGGACCAGACCTAGTTAGTACTTGGATAGGTCTTCTATGAAATTGCAGGGATTGAGAAGTTAAAAAACATCCCTCTTCTATATTGTTGCCAAAAAACCCTACATGGACATTTCTATAAAATCACCAAGACTTTACCTTTTTATGATCCCGGGTTTATCCTTACAACAACCCAGTCTGGTAGGCCTCAGGTATCATATGCTTGGAAAAATTTCTCCAAGAGAATTAATGGAAGTGTGAAACCTTTCAGGCTGCAAAACCTGATCATTAGATAACAACAACACATTCCCAGAACCCCTGACCAGGAGGGGGGCTTTTAGACATCAGCTGACAAGCCCTGCCCTTTCCACTGGACCTAGAAAAATTACTATGGATGATTCTGAAAAACAGCATTGAGGTGGGAATGGATGGCTGAGTTCACTCTTTTTTTTTTTTCCTTAGTCCCTTATGGAAAGGTTTTTTTTTCCTGAGTCCAGGGAAACCTGGACTCACACAGCCCAGTTTCAAAAAAAAACCCTACAACAGGGGCACCATGTACTATTTGTTATATTTGTATTAACACCCTTGTGCAAAACTGTTTAGATTTGTTTCCTGGGGTGAATTCTGCCATCAATGCAACTAATTTAATCTTTCTTACCTTGTCCAAATAAAGCCATTCTGTAAATTTCTTCAGCACCTCGGAAACCCAGCATCCGGCACACCACGTCACCGTCTTTCTTGTCCCATCCATCGTCACACACAGTCCCCCAGTGTCGTTCATGAAAGACTTCCACTCGCCCTTCATGAGGACCAGAGCCATTCATCAAGCGGATAATTCCCTCTTCCAAAGTGGGAGCTGCACAGTTGTGAGTCGGGGAGGTAAATAAAAAAATCATATACAGGATTAAAAATTACTTTCTGCTACAAGCTCTTTTGCTATTCTTACTGATCCTAGTGGAATGTGTAAAGATCACATATCTGTTCTGGTCAAATGCTGTAGGGAAAAACCTCAGGTACCACCTTAAAGGAGTCAAAAATATGTTCAGTGGTTTAACACAATCAATCCAAGTGATTCTTTGCACAATTCATAATCAATTTAACTGTTTCTTACATTCATATCCACCTTTTCTTTGTGATCTGAAGGTGGTGTGTATGAGAATCTCCCCTCATTACACTTTCCCTACAACAACCCTTTGAGGTGGTTCAGCTGAGAGAGTGTGTAACTGGTTCAAAGTCATCCAGTGAGTCCATGGCTGAACAGGAACTTGAACCTGGCGTCACTAGCTCAAATCCAAAACTTGAGCCATGACATTTAGGAAACTAACTAAAATTTAGGAAACTAAATAAAACTAAATTTGACCATTGGCCACTGGCCACTGGCTTAATCTATTGATGTACTGTATGTGAATCAATGAGAGTCTTTTTGATTGTGGCAGAGTACGAAGCTACACAATGCAACACAATCAATAAATATATATTTTCAAATGTTAGAAAAAAATAAACCAGATCCTGAGAAACAACTTTCTCAGCTAACATCTTTTATAGGCAGGAGGAAATATGTTTTTAAGTGTTTCCCTAGCTAAAATGTCCCTTGCAACAAATCTGGATCTTACGCAGAAGAAATCTGTATCCCCAATTGCTATTGTGCTTTTCTGTTTGCAGGCTGTTTCTTGTGAAGGGAAACATTACAAAATGTGACGCTACTTCTGCAGTCTGAAATGGCACCGGGGTCTCTAATGGAAGTGTCTGTGGGATGTGCCTCTCTTGAGTCCTGCCACACCCCCTGCCCCACTTGACTACTGTCATGAAACCTAGTTTGAAAAATGGGAAGTTGGCATCCTGCAAAGCAAAAAAAAAAAAAATCAGCCTCAGAGATCTTCTATTTCCAAAAATTATTCTTCAGGGCATCAAGATTATACCAGAAGTGATTGCTTTCCTTTGCATACTAGCTTTCCATTTATAAAATGGATATATTTTTAAATGGAAGAATAATGCAGGATTATCTATCCCATGGTGGAGTGTTGTGGGATTTGAGAACTGTAGGGGAAGAGAAACTGTGGGGGACTGCCTGATCTGTGGGATTGGGTGGGTGTGCCTTTTGAGATGTGACCTATGGACTTCCAGAAGACCACTGGACATGTGTCAAAACCACACTTCCACCTGTGGAAGTGGTGCTGCAGTGCCTCACTGGGGAAACAGCTTTTTTTGAGAGAGAGATGGAGCAGGCCATGCGATGTCCAATCTCTGATCCCTCTATGGGATCAGAGGATTCGTACCAAAGATTCATTCTCCCTGGCTTCTTTCCCCTTCTTCTGCTCCTCGTGCCACACATGGCAAAAGAAAGTTGTGGGGGTGGGGGTGGAGACGGAGAAACACAGGTCTTTTGGGTACCAGTTTTCCCAGCACCTGAAAGACATGCCCCGTGTTAAACTTGCTTTCCCCCCACCCATCTACCCAAAGATTAGTGCCAGCTCTTCAAAGGAGGCCAGGTCAAGAATCAGACATCACAGAGATTCCAGAAATGCTACTTTATGTTTTAGGTTTTACCAACAGAATCTTGAAGGCTATCCATATTCTTCCATGTCCCATCTTATACTAAACAAAACCAAAGTGGGGTTATTTTGAGTTTCTTTCGCATACTTGTATCAATCCCTGAACTATGTATTTTTAATATCTGCAAGTCATCGCCTAATGGTTCTTTTGTACCTTTCGCAAGGTCTTCTCTAAATTCCTTCACAATTAGTGCCTACTTTGCCAAGGGAGGGTGTTTTTACCCATGTCTTCAGAAGACCATTGGACCTGTATCTGATGTGGGATTGGAGAACTGACAGCAAAAGTCCTATAGGTCTTCTGACACAGTAACTGGCACCAGAGGTGTTTTCCACCCCACCACTCTCCTCCCTCTACTTCTCTTGCCAACAGAACCATATTCTTTCTCAGAAACCAAGAAGGATTGGAAGTGTGGGCAGTAAATTTTTACACCAGCATACTTTTCTGCTAGCTTGCACAGTAGAGCAGTGCTTCTCAACCTTGGCAACTTTAAGATGTGTGAACTTCAACTCCCAGAATTCCCCAGTCCACACACCTTAAAAGTGCTAAGGTTGAGAAACAGTGCACTAGAGACAGCACTGAACAGGGCCATGCAGAAGAACACTATATTGGAGTTAAACTAGAGGACATCTTCTAGATGCAAAGAAACAACTCACAGAGTAATTCTTCACTTCTCAAGAAAGCAGACGTGTTGCCCAAAGCTGGACAAGAGATCAAACTGCTTTCAGTACAAAACCAGGAAAAAAAGTCATTGTTCCCTCAAGTTGTGGGGCCAATAGTTTGGATGGCACCAAATGATGGACAAAGGGGCTCTCTTGGCACTGCCTTCTAGCCTCCACTTCTTGTAACTTCCACAACAGGGGCAAGTAAAATAGCCAGGCCCTTTCTACATTTCCTCCAGATTCTGCCCAATAATCCATCACCACTGGCTCTTCCTGCCAACTGCTTCCTTCTAAATGGTAGCACTTCATTGGAGACATACTAGAACAACATCTTACAGCCTTGAAGAAGCAAAAGACTTACTGGCCCTGCCAATGGCTGCTGTCTACTCCAGAATCATATTCACATCCTTTAGAGGTGGGGTGTAGACAAATCCATTCCTGGTGGGATATTTCACTGGCCAGAACAGCAGTTTTATGCAGTTTTATCTCCACACTGATGTATACAATGGAGACATCCCATAATTGAATATTAACCAGAAACAGGGACTACAAATTGTGTTTTCATATATATAGATACATAAATGAGTCTTGCAGAATGTTCTGGGAGGAAATACACTTTTTTTCATGTTTGGCCTAATAACAAGTAGATTTAATTCAGGAACAAAACCAGGATTTCAGGTTTACAAGTATCCTGCTTGTCCTCCCTCCCTGACTGTTCCTAGCTCAAGTGCTAGTTAAGTGGTGGCATGAACTGTCAACTGTTAACAGATGCCTGAAGGCCTGTCTTTGTTCATGGACGTCTTTGACTGCCTGTCCTCTACAGTAACACCTATAAGCCCACAACCTAGTCCCCAGAGTCCTTGCAGTTACATCAAGCTTAGCTTGGCTCCAAAGACCTAATGATCTGTTGCAGGGTTCCTCAACCTTAGCCACTTTAAGATATGTGTGAGTTGAAGTCCACAAAGCTTAAAGTGGCTAAGGCTGAGAAACATTGATCTATTGCTTAACCTTTACACACATACAAAAGATACTTTTTAAAAAAATGTTCAGTGTGTACACAGTATAGAATACACAAATTACCTAAGTAAAAACTGTGCAATTGCAGATATTTCATGATAGCTTTGGGCCATATCAGGAGTATCCACAGGGTATGGTAAAAAAAATCAGGATGGCAGCCATGATGGTGTGATTGAAGGTCTGCCTAGTTTTTTTTTTTTTAATGCACATCCCATATGCTGTAGTCGCCATCTTGACTTTGTTGATGATACCCCTGGGCCATAGAAAGGTTTATTTGAAGAAATGGAAGTGGAAGAACCTTTTTAGTTTGGAATACAGACTGCCAATTTTAAAGTAATCCAAAAAGTTAAATGTATGCATGCCTATGGACATAGATCTGAAAATCCTTCTGACACTGTTCGAACGGTCACTGAACGAGTGATCGTTAAGCGAGGACTACCTGTATTTGCATCTCCCCTGGGTGCATGGGAAGGTTGAAATGGGACACAAAGAGGAGGTGAGAAGGATGAGTCCACTTTCAGACTGACTGGGTGTCTCCAACTCTTTAGTCCTTTTAAAACCTAAAACTGGACTTCTTTTGATATTTAGGAATGTATAGCAGTGACCGTGCTGCTCCTGTCATTCTACCTGATTGTCCCTGAAAGCAGCCATTTTATTGCACAAGTAAGTGCACTAATCCACCTCTTTCCCTGTGTTCCAAGAGATTCCCCATGGACTCTGTTCCTTTTTTAATATATTTGTTTGCATAAAGCCTATTACAACCCAGCCTTTTCCCAATAGGAGAAATATAAGGAAAATACATAAACATTGCTTAAAGAAACAATATCTCAAACGGCTGCAGCTGTACAAAGATAGCATTGGCTTGGATAATTGGGACCATGTGTCTGTGAGGGAAGTGGAAGATTTATCCCTGCACAGAAGTAGCACTGCTTTCCATTTTCCCACTCCCACCTCCACCCAGAAAAAAATCCGTTTTTCATTCCAGTCAACTAGGCCCAGGAAATGGACCTAGCCTAGAATGCTGGGACCCAAATTCCTGAGGGGTGTGTGACTGTCTATGTCTTTGTGTGTTTATCTGTCGATAAGCCTCCTTTGGTGTTTAGTATGAAGAAAAGCTAATTTCTACCTCGCTTTTTTTCAGAATAAAAAGGTATTTGTATGAGAATGACTTATGCGTGCCTATAGGCGTATATGTGTAGAAATACACACACACACTATGCATGTGTGTGTGTGTGTGTGTGTGTGTATGAATAAAATAAAATAGAACTATGGAATCATCAAGTTGGAAGAAGTTTTAGAAGTCATATTTTTCAACCCCCAACTCATTGGAGGACCCACTAGCATCATTTGTCAGTGATGACCCTCGCGCCTGTGTTTGAAGACTTCCAGAGAAGCAAAATTCCCCACTTAATGCGGCAGCCTGTTCTACTGGCAGACAGCATGTACAGACAGGAAGTTGCTCCTGATGTGTAGCCTGAACCTCTTTCCTTCTTGTTTTAACCCACTGGTTTTGATCCTGCCCTCTGGGCAACAGCAAACAAGTCCTCTAAAAACTGAACTCCAAACTAACCAATCCTATTTCAACCACACAGAAATGTGTGTATCACTTCATTTTTTGGGTGGTGCT